AAAAAAAATAAAATAAGGATATTTTCCAAAAGAAAATAAACTGATGGAAGAATTAAAGGATGATGGCAGAAGCGTGGCATGGCTCTGCCAGCCTTGCTGTGGAGCGAGCACCGGTAGATTCGTCGATGTATCTCTTTCAAAAGAGCGTAACTTCCCTTTCCGTAAGGGTCAGCTGCATACCATAATTCTCTGGAACTTCTGAAAATGTTCTTCTTTCGCATTTAAAAGACATAATTGGATTAGTGACCTGTATTATGCTGAAGGTCAGGCTAATTAATGACCCATTGTGTCTTAAAGCTGGGAAATGGAGTGCATCAGGAGGAAATTAAAGAATGAAATCGTACGCCGCAGCTTTGGGAGAATCTGAACTTTTAACTGATTTCACAAGCTGCATTTGTTCACTTTTTAAGGAAATGTTAACATATATGCCTTATTGAGCAGAGTTTTGTGTGTTTTTAAAACTTGAGATTAAATGCTTTGCATGCAAACTTGGTAGTTTTTTCCTTCAGTGACAGGAAAGGGTGGTTACTATTTATGTTTTTAAACCATGGCACAGAGAAGGCAATTTGGTTTTGATAGCCTGTCTTGAATCTGTAATGTTGCAAGAGTTTTTGGTCTCTTGGGGGTTCTGAGTCTGCTGCTCATGATTAATATTAATATAATATTGATGGGATCAGGTTATACACGCACATTCTTAAAATTGCCTCGTGTTTGAACAATAGTCTGGCAGATAGTTCAGAAAACATTTAGTTGTTTCTTTTATTTGTTTTTGACTTGGGTAATACAGCAGGATATTGCATGAAATATGACATTATATGATATGTTTTTTAACTAGAGAATTTTAGTAGTAAAAATGATGAAGTATGAGCTTTATCCACAATATACAAGATTTCTGAATAGGACTAGAATTCAGATGCAGAAGCTGACACTTGACTGTCTTGAATCTTGTAACCTTGTGAGCGGAGCAGAAATCTTAAATACCACTCCACTCTGTAGCAAATAATGATAAATACAGAATCTTTTGTTGTGTTGCAGGTTTAAAATTTGAATTTTATATTGTATTTTGAAAACATCCTAAATTTACAGTAGTGATTTTTAAAAAGCAGTGTTTGGGGGAATAGAGAAAGTATTTATTCAACAATATTAATACATTAAAAACTGTTGGTACTGCTTCCCTATCTGCTTCCCTATTACCATTGTATTTGTCTCTAGGAACCTTGGTTGAAAAAGACCTAACAAAAATGGAAACAGAAAAGCAACAGAATACTCAAAATATTTTCATGGCTTCAGTAGGGAGAGAAGCTACAATTGAGACTGTTGCTCCTAAAGAAATTTACCAAAAAACTCTACTGAATTGGGAGGTAAATAAAATAATTAACGATTTACAGAAGCGCAGGCCTCCGTGTTTGCTCTTTTGCAAAACAGCCAAAGGAAAATGAATTAAATTAAAATGTGAAAAGCTTGAAAATTCTTTCAAGCTGCAAAACTTTTCTCCTTGGTGCAGAAACCTGTTTGTGCAGGATCTGCATCACAGCCTCCTCTTTTCCTAAGCAAGGGGCACAAGGGTTGGGTGTTGCTTGGAGACTCCCGTGTCAAATTTGTTTGGTTTGTCTCCTTTTCGTTAGCAGACTTATAGAGGTGACCAGGAAATAGCCTTTGAACACCTTGAGTCAGAGGACAGGCCCTGATGTCACGTTCATGTTGATTGCTTGTTGAAGTATTGACAGAAAATAAACCTGTCGTAGGTTGTTTCGGAACGACTGAGTGAAGGTTGAAAGGTTGAAGGAAGTCATGCTGAAGAAATAAAACTGTCTGGTAGGAAAAGAATAGTGCTAGTGATCAAAAGTTGTTAAATCTTGCAAACAGGTAACCCAAATATATTCTGATAGTGACATCTTTAACTGATTATCAGAGTATTTGGGTTTAAAACACTACACTTGACACTTCCAAGCTTGAACAGCTTTAATGCTGGGAGTGTAGAGAAGAGCTTAATGTTTCATCTGTTCAACCCTGTTCAAGTCCAGGAAGGATAGAGTATATCCTTCCTTCTCCTGTGGCCTGCAGGCAGATTATCCCTAATTCTTGCATGTGACTCGCTATGTTGTTATCAGGCAACCCAAAACATATGAAATTCCACCTTTTGATCTTTCCCACTGTTTCCTGATCATTGACAGCCACTGGCTGACAGAGAAACCCTGTTCATTATTCTACAGGATCACCATGATATAATTTTTTTTAAGTGAACCATGTTCTCCATTACTATTTTCTAACAGTGTTCTGTACAATAAATTGAATAATTATTATTCTCAGTTTATCATCACTGGTATTTTAAATATATCCAGCATAAGCAGGACCCCCATTTCCCTTTTCTAAAGAAATTTTATGTATTTTCTCTGTCTAGCAAGCGTGTTACACTTGTGCATCTGCTGTTTAATTGGAAAGATGCTTGTTAAGAACTGGCATGTGGAAAAGCAGATGTTAGTCCAGTGATTACAAAGATGAGATGTGCTTCAGGTAATCTGCCTCATCTTCAGGAATCTGTTCATTAAGGTGTAGAAATGGATTAGATTACTTCCAAAAATGTGTATGTAATTTTTTTTTTTTTTTTAATTAAAAAAAAAAAAAAACAAACAGTTAAAAGATGCCATTTGATGTCTGTTAACTGCCAAACACAGCTCTGAAAAGGGATGCAAGAAATTCTGCTTAGGACATGTGAGGAGAAAGCTCTTGTATTTCATCAGACTCAGTGGCTTTTCCCACCTTCAGCACTTGTTGTCTTTTCACAACATTTTTTGTTCTTTGCATTTCTGTGGCTATAGTAAGGAAAATGGTTTCCATGGTGGTAGACATCTTCTTTTTCCCTTCCCTCTACTGTTCCTCAGCTCATAAACTTCCCAGAAATTTTTGCCCGTGAAGCTTTCATTTCTCTAATAGGCAAGACACGGAGGTTGTTTGGGCATAAGAAAAATAAAAATCTTAATAATTTAAATTATATGAAGAGAGTGGACCAATCTGGTCAAATCCTGTTCTCTCAATTACTTTTAGAGGAAGCTACATATCCTTGCTGAGGGAACATAGTGGGGAAAGGAAAAGAAGGCTTCTGCCATGCTGAGTGATTGTAAGTAAGATTTCTCTTTGTAGGTAAAACAGTTGATCCAAAACTGCGTGGCATATTGTCTTGATTTTGCTCAGCAATCTATTTGCTTGAATTTTCTTTTTAAAAAAAAAAAAAAATCATCATACAATCTTGAACACAAAAGGGATTAAAAATGAAAATATATCTTATTTATGTCTGTAGTATTTTAGGAGTCATCACCTTAAAGAACCCAAAAGAGGATGAACTCAGTGCATAGGCTTTGCTCAAAGCATATTGCTACCAAGTGTACGGAGATGATATGAAAGCCTGTTGAATTTCCTAATTCAAGACGTAGAGTAGTAGTAGAGATGGACTGAGTCTTTATAAAAAGGAAATACACCAATTCTCATTTTCATTTTGCTATTAGTAGCAAATCTTGTATTTCAGGTGTTTTTTTACTATGTTAGTTTGCACCGTGCAAAATGGACATTTCTTTTTGAAATAGATGAGTTTGCTGAAGATGGCAGAATTTAGAATGGTAAGAAGCAAAGGTCATTCTGTCTTTTAAATGTGCTCTGAAATGTTGAGCCTAATTGACTCGAAGGAACATTACACATAGTTACATAAACCCTCATTTAATTCTCAACTATTTCAAACCTTCAAACTATTTAATAAAATCGGTTGTGAAACAGGACATTGTTGAAAAGGTAACAGGAAAAGTTGTATCTGGCAATTAGCACTGGCTCTCAGCAAAAGGGTAAAGGGTTATCATTCTAAACTCCCGTCTGCTCTCTCCTCTTGCATATTTACTGGCTTCTGAATATCTGACAAATGTTTTTAGTTACACACATGGCTAGTTCGGAGTGTGCTCCTAGTAGTAACTCTCTCATTGACGTGAAGTCACTGACTTCACCCGAGTACTGTACCTAACACAGCATAAGAACGTTTGTCAGTCTTCCTGCCCTTCTATAAATCAGACAAATCTGAAAGAGAACATGTTTACTGTGTCACAGCAATTGCAGGAGTGCAGTGAAGACGAAGAGGATCGGGAGTGCCTAAAACAAGCCATTACTGCTCTTCTGAACCTGCAGTGCAGCATGGAGCGCATTTACAGCAAACACTCCCCAAGACGCCGGCCTGGGTAATAATCCACAGAACTAGCCTGGTTTCCCATGTGGAAAGGAATTGTCATTTTTTTTTTCTTGTTAAAGAATGTGCATGTTTTCTTTTCAAGCCTGTCTTTATGCCAGTTTTCACTGTAAGTGGAGTAGCAGCCCAAAACCTCCATGGTCCACTTCTATGAATAACGTCAATATCTTACCCTTTCCCTAGCCAAACAGTGCACGTGGTTTATTTGGAACAGTAAACTTGGTTAGGGCATATTTAGGGCAAAGAATTAATGATATAAACAATTAATTTAGTTGATTTTTTTTTTTTATCTCTTGGCATAGCAAATGTGGAATGTGCCCATTGTGACTTTTTTTTCTTTTATTCATTCAAGGGAGCCAGTCTGTCGCTTCTATAACCGTCAAATAAGAAGCAAGCACTTGGCCATCAAGAAAATGAATGAAATCCAGAAAAATATTGATGGCTGGGAAGGCAAAGATATTGGGCAGTGCTGTAATGAATTCATAATGGAAGGTGGCTTGACAAAAATAGGAGCCAAACATGAACGCCACATCTTTCTCTTTGATGGTTTAATGATCAGCTGTAAAACTAATCACGGTCAGTCACGGCTTCCCGGTTACAGCAATGCAGAGTATAGACTGAAGGAAAAAATCCTCATGAGGAAAATACAGGTTATTGATAAAGATGACACAGCTGAATATAAACATGCTTTTGAACTGGTGTCTAAAGATGAAAACAGTATCCTGTTTGCTGCCAAGTCTGCTGAAGAGAAGAGTAATTGGATGGCCGCTCTGATTTCCCTCCAGTATCGCAGTACTCTGGATAGGATGCTTGATTCAGTATTACTGCAAGAAGAAAATGAACAACCACTGAGGTTGCCCAGCCCAAGCGTGTATCGTTTTGTAGTGGAAGATTCCGAGGATAACATCGTTTTTGAGGACAACTTGCAAAGCAGGATTCCTATCATCAAAGGAGGAACGGTTGTGAAATTAATCGAAAGGTTAACGTACCATATGTATGCAGGTACCCTGGACATTTGTTACATATATATATATATATATATGGTTTTTAAGGTCATGCTTGTATGAGTGATGAAATTAATACTTTTATCTTTTGTTTGGTTGGGTTTTTTTCTGCGTATAGTTAAATGTAAAGCAAGATTTGCTTTAAAAAACAAAACAAAACAAAAAACCAACCAGTATCTGTTATTAAATTAACTGGGTTTGCTGGCAAAGCTGTAAGAAAATTTTGGGTATGCAAGCCCCGCCCCAACCCTAAAATATCAGTGGTCTAACAGGAGCCACTGGTGTGTTTCCTGAGACCACTGTGGCTAAAGCAGTGGTGCAGTTACAGGCTGTGTAACAGTGGAGGAAGAAAAGGTTGGAGGTTATATTTATTATACTTCAACCTGGTGCTTTGTGAAGTCCCTCAGTAGAAAAGGATGCAAGTCACAATTGGCATTCTTCAGTCTTTCCTGTGAAATACTGTCTTAAAGCCACAGAAATGAAACTTTGAAGTAGTTACACTAAGTGCTGATGTTGATGAAGACGTTAGATCTGAGGTTTGGGGTGACGTGTGTGCACTGAAAGAGGACGCGCGCGGTAAAGCTGACGTGAGGACGCTGGTGGGAGTCGTGTGCCATTTTTGTAAAACTTCTCAAGTGGTAATGGTCTCCTTTGTGCTTTTTACCAAACTGCCTGGTATTTCAGGGAGTCTGTTTTGTAAAAATTAGGTTAGATAGTGTGGAGCTGTGTATTAAAAAAATAATAATTAAAAAATAGCATTTCCCACATTGAAGCTCAGTATTTATGCAGCTAGTTGGCATGCAGGTAATCCAGAGTTGTGTTGTCTGGGAGTCCCAAGTCATCCTTTTCAAAAATGGGGTGGGTTTCAGTGGCTTGTAAACTTAAACCTAGCTCTTTTCCTGAATGAACTGGTATATTTGAGTATTAGTTTGTTAGTGTAACTTCAGTTTTTATAGCACAAGTACTTGCTACTTTGGCCTTGGGAATCATCAATGGAAGCGTTGCCTCTTGGGTTTCTGTGTGCATTTTCCAAACAGTGTTTGGAGCCAAGACTAACAAAATCCTCTCCCTCAGCCTCTAGAAGGGCGTTTTGATGACTAAGAGCATGTGGAGGGACTCTCAGCAGATCTTGGTTGTGCTTTTTGTTTGCATTTAGATCAATATGTGATTTATTTTTTTTTAAACAGTCAGTTATTGCAGGTTTGCATTAGTTTGATTTGTTTTAAGTAGGCTTTGCTCCAGCACACAGGCTCTTCATTCCCTGAGTAACCTCACAGTGAAAGAAGTCCCCAGTTGGTACTAGGGCACCGTGGAAGGTAGCAGATGGGAAGTTAAACTCTTTAATTTAAATTGGGAGCCACTATTAGTGGCTTGTATTGTACAAGCACATTGCTTGTGTTTTCTATTTTATTGAGACTGTCATCTACAAAAGTATTCAATTTAAAAAATAATGTAAAGGAACATCCACAGGTGAGAGAGCAGAGTAGCAGCCCCTGTTTTAAGGGAATTGCAGATTGTGTCTGCAGAGCAGAGGTACCACCTGCCTGTTGAGTGGTAGGAAGAAGATTTACTTTTAAAATGTCAAAAATAGTACTCAAGAGTGAATGTCTATGTGATGTGGAAGCAGAACAGGCCAGTGCAGGACTGGGGTGCAAACTCAGCAGCATTATCACAGGATGAGCACACTATTATTTTTAGCTTACAAGCATGTTCCTGTATATGGATCCCTTAAAAATGTTGAGCAGTGCTCTGTAGGGAATTTAAGCCTTCTTAAAAGCAATGTTTGTCTTCATCTTTTGTGGGCTTATTGGAAGAAATTCACTGCCCACGTGTTAAAGACTGCTGGGGTAAGCTACCTGCACCTTGTGCTGACAGATCCAGACTATTTACAGAACATCAAGGAGAAAGAAACTCCACACTTCTGAGTGAGCATGAAGATATGCCCATGAGCATGAGATATGCCCATGCACTTCTCTAGGCTTGGTTTTCCTCTATTTCAGTGTTCATTTGCTCCAGACAAACTTGAGGAAAAACTTCTTTACTGTGATGGTGAAGGAGCCCTGGGACAGGCTGCCCAGAGAGGGTGTGGAGTCTCCTTCTCTGGAGAGATTCCAAACCCACCTGGACACCATCATGTGCAACCTGCTGGAGATGGACCTGCTTTGGCAGGGGGGTTGGACTGGATGATCTCCTGAGGTCCCTTCCAACCCCACCACTCAGTGATTCTGTAGTGCTGCTGTCACCCATGTGAGGGGATCTGCTGCAGGGATGTAAGATCAGGACCAGATGATGACCCTTTGTGGCTCCCAGTAAAGTGATTCATCTGTCAGCTTGATTATTCACGATCTAAGAAACACTCTGTACAGAGAATGGAATTAAAAGAGATCAAAGGAACAATATTTTTCCTTTAATACTCCTAATACAGCAGAGTAGGCCCAATAAAGCACGTGTGAGCTTGCAGATAGGCACGTCTCGTGGTAACACACCTCCCGTAGCGGTGAGGAACAGCAGGAGGGAGGCGTGGTGGCTTGTGGAGAAGCGACGTCTTGAACTGCTGCAGGTATTTGCTTTGTAAGGCCTTTGCCGCTCGTCGTGTTTTCCCTGTTGGCTGCTCTGCTGAGAGGAGCTGTGTGCTGCAGTGCTGTGGCTGGGGCAGGTGTGCAGTCCCCACTGCCAGAGGGTTTTTTTAAGAACAGGTAAGATAAACGTTTTGTCAGGGTGGTATAGGTATTTTTGATGTCAGTAGACAGCCTAGTTCTACCATGTTTTCTGTGTCTTCATGAAGCCATGGAATAGCTGCAGGTTTGGGGAGTGTAAGCTGATCTGCACACCAAGACTGAGAATTTTTGAGAGAGCATAGTGTGTGCAGTTGAATACTTTTCCAGGGGAAATGCATCAAAGAACTAAATGAATTTCACAAGCAGTATCATTTCAGGTATTTTTTTTTCTCAAATTGCAGTGCTTAACTTGTAACCCGAGTGTATTTTCCGTGCTTTAAGCTTTTTCTGTGAATATATGTGTATTTTATTTCTGATATGTTGCAGTTGGATAAAAAAAAAAAAACCCAACACTCCATCATTTTCTTATCCTACCTTTACAGATCCTAATTTTGTACGTACTTTCCTTACCACGTACCGCTCGTTTTGCAAGCCCCAGGAACTGCTGAGTTTACTGATTGAAAGGTGAGTAGTGTTCATCCTTTCTGAAGCCACTGAAAGGCTTTGTGTTCATTTACCTGCTTCGTTCTCAGTGCTGCGTGGCACGTGTTTTAGTGAAGCTCATAAACCAGGAACTTCTAAAACGGGATAACAACGATGCAAGTTTTTAATGCAAGCTGCCTTTTCCCAATTTGTTAAATTAGTTACCTGAATTAAGTATTAGGTGGAGCACTTGGTGTGCCTAAGCTGTGGGGTGGTAATGTTTTAAACTGCTTAATTTAATCATGGGAGTGTATTTGAGTATGCCTAAGTCTCGATGCAAATAAGAAAGGAAATGTTCTAAGCAGTTTGTTTGAAAGGCACAGGACTCTTAATGTAAACAGCATTTTAATACAGTGCGATAAAGCTGCTCTTAAGCTTTCTTCTAATCTTCAGTTAATGAAGCTAGCAGGTAGTTAAAAACCTTACATCGTAGTCTAGACGTCTTGCGATGACCAGAGAAGGTAGCAAATTATCAGGGTGTGGTAGCCAAGGGAGGAGAGAATTCCAGGCAGACTGGATATTAGATGAGTGCTTGAGTTTCACCACAACGCATTTTTTTTTTTTTTAAAAATGCAATTGCTTTTCATATCCTACATAAAGGGTTTGTGTTTTATCTTAATTGCCATCAGTTTTTCGGTACTTTTATTCCTAGGTTTGAAATCCCAGAGCCTGAGCCTACTGAAGCAGACAGGCTGGCCATCGAGAAAGGGGAGCAGCCTATCAGCGCCGACCTGAAGCGATTTCGCAAGGAATATGTCCAGCCAGTACAACTCAGGTTTATTTGCTTTTAAATTTGTTCTGTTAAAGCCAGATTGGAGTTCACTGATTATACAGTGATCCTGGAGACAGTAATCTCTTTTGGAGATTGCTGTGCTGTCAAATAGGGATTTATCACTGTCTGCAACCAGACTAATAACCCAAACCATGTTCTCATTAGTCATACTCACTTCTGTTGTTGTTGCAACTGTACTTTGGTTCTCTGCCGCTCACAGCTGTGATCACCACCCACAAGAACGCTGTAGGGCCGCTATGGAAAGCGGGTGTGGGTGAGAGATGTACAACTGAAAGTGTTTCTGGCTGCATTTTGAATGGATTCCTTGTTAACAGGCCCTATAAAGATAGTTTCTCTATTTCCATTTCAGTCCTGCTGGTATTTTACTCCCTTTCCCAGCCCCGTTGATGTATTTGCACACAGACAGGGAGACTCTTGTCTGTACTGCACATTGCAGCAGGCTGCAGTGAATCTTCAAGGTCTTGCTGACCAAGCTAACTTGGGGAACAATTAAGCGTTTCTAGCATCAATGAGGCTAATTGTTTCCCTGATAAGGGATCAAGTCAGGAGGAGACACAGATCACAGCCAATATTTGCTACAACAACTTTTATTCATTAAACTGTTTTTATTAGTAGCATCAAGATGTTACTATTAATGGCAGATAACAGTACCCTCAGTTATTGCCTTGCCACACACAGTCATTTAATTACCTGTTTGGAGCAGCAGCAGTTTACTCAAAGTGAAGGATCATACTGTCATGCCAGAACCTCCAAGGCAGGTGTTCAGAAAGTCGCTTAGGAGTCCCATTTTCATCAGATACCTGTGTGCATATATATATAAAAAAATATATATAATTATGTATGTAATACTGTCGTGTTGCTGCCACCCCCTTCTTGGGTGTAGTCCAAATTACACAACCTCAGTGTAACCTTCATACTTGTGTGTGCTCATGGCCTTGTACGGATTTGTCAGGCCCTTGGTGTTCTCAGTTTATCAGCTCCTGT